TTATATTTCGCAAGAGTCTTCTTCCAGTGCCTAACGCAAGGAACTTTTGTATAGTGACTCACTTATTCAACGAGCTGATGGTTGAGAATGGAAGAAAAATAGTAGGACTCAACTGCAGCTGAACAAATCGTTCTTTGAATTTGCAGAGCTTTTAAAAGTTTTACCTTTTTTTATATTGAAAGAAATAATAGCCCTCTTGGAGTTATATCGTTTTAAAGCAGCTTTGTACTTTTTATAGTTTGCTTTCTTGTATATCTTTAAAAGTTGTAGTTTTTACAAAGTTTATCGTACAAGAGGATGCAACAAAAGCCTTTAAACCTAAACAGTCATGTTTACCTTCAAAAACACCTCAAATGTATAGCCGATTACTGAGGAGAAAGAATTCAACTATGATTCAAATGATATGCAATGACAAGATACGAGAAAAGAATCGATAGAATAGACTCAATTCGACTGAATTGAATTTCTCTGAAAAATATCTTTTCTCCTCTTAACAGAATCCACAATATCAAATGCCACTATTTTCAGAGGAGAAAGAGACAGGAGTTATTGACTCTTACAGAAATTGAGTATTGATGATACACTTGTGTGAGTCAATGTTGTTTCTGAGATTTGATAACACCACGCGATATTTTGGATCCTTCTTTGCACATTTGTTTTGCTTTGTCTTTTGCTATCATCAACTTTTGTAGCTTTAGTGATAAGCTGCTACTTGTCATGATATCGTAAGAAAGGAATTTGATGATTCCTGAAAATAAAGCAGTGATTTGCTTGCGGGTTTCTGCATTTCTACTAAATAATAATATTTCAACTGGAGCTTTTGAATAGATTACAAAAGAGAATGACTTGGTTCATACTCTAGTTCCGTGTTTCGAAATGAAGCAAAAGTGACGAAAAAACTATTCCATAAAATACAGAAAATCTAGAGAGAGACGTCTATGGAACACATTCTTCATGAACAATCTATATCACTCGGAACTCTCATGACTACTCTCGAAAATTCTGAAAGAAACTTTCTTATCTATGTGAGAATGGGCCATGTTTAATAGCTTTATACTCTCAAAGAGCATAAAAAACTTGTGAAATAAACATTGGCTTCCCTTCCATCCTCCTTGTACCTTATGAGAGTTACCATTATATTAGCATACGAGGAATAAAATATTGATAGTTGAAAAAGCCATATTGATCGT